CCGGGGGGATGGGCGGGGCTGAGCTGTGGGCCTGGCCTCCAGGGGAGACGCCCCAGCACCTGTGGGCTGGCGGGGTCCTTGCTGGGGGTGGGCGCAATGCTATGCGTGTGGTGGGTGAGGTGGGGCCCCTGGGTTGACCTGGAGGCGGAACCCCACCCAGGAGACGTACCAGTCTGTGTACAACTGGCAGTTTGTGCACTGCCTCCGCCTGTGGAGCCATGTTCTTGGCAGCGTGTACCCCAGCGAAGCCCTCCAGCCCTTGATCTACCCCCTCTCCCAGGTTGTCATCGGCTGCATCAAGTGAGTCCGGGACTGCGGGGTGCTTCTGAGGGCCAGGGCCACTTGGGTTGTCCAGAAACAAGGTCAGCGTAGGGTCATGGTTACAGAGAGGCTTCCTGGAGGGCTGGGAGAGGCTAATTTTCCAGGAGGATCTGGGCAGTGTCCCCAGGGTCTGGGGTCTGTGACATGGCAGCAAGGCTAGGGGTGGGGCCTTCTGTGACTCGTGGGCAGATGGGCTGCTCCCTAGCACCTTAGTCCCAGGACACAGTACGATGTGCATTCTCAGGGTGCTGGGTAGAGGACAGTCTGAAGGGAGTTTGGGTTTGCAGGTTTCTTGGACAACAGGGCTGGTATTCATTCACATTGGTCTCCACATGTGGCCTGATGGCTGTTGGCCAGGAGGGGGCACCCCTGTCCTCTTGAAGGAGGAGTCTTGGATGCTCTCCTCAGGAAAGAAAAGCTTGAATGAGTGACTCTGCCACCCCACACCATAACTGAGCAAAGAGGCAGGTCCTTAAGGTGGGGTCTTCCTGCCTTGTTGTAGCAGAGGATTCCGTTGGTGCAGGTGTGACTTCTGACCCTGACAGAAGTGACAGGGAGGGCTCCTGCTGAGATTGGGGTTCCCTGTGAAAGGGCTTGTGCAGCTGGCCAGGAGGGTGAGGATTGTTTTGGGGTCTCTGAGGCTGGGCCTCTGTTCACTTCCCTCTTCCGGTGCCCCAGGTTGGTCCCCACCGCACGCTACTACCCACTGCGCATGCACTGTGTGCGCGCCCTGACACAGCTCTCGGAGCGCACTGGTGTCTTCATCCCAGTGCTGCCCTTCATCCTGGAGGTAAGCGGGCCACTGGGGCGGGGTGGGGCGGGCTGGGCCAGGGCTGGCGGGGCCTCTGCTGTCCTGGAGGCGCTTTCTGTTTCACTCAGAGCTTCTGAGCTCCACTAGGTGTCGCTTTCCTGAGTGCTGGTCCCTCACCTGTAGGACACCTGTACTCAGTGCCTTGCTACTTGCCCAGGCTGGTGATGTGTGTTGCTTGGCAAGGGTGGCTGCGAGGACGAGAACAGCTGTACTGCAGGGTGGACCTGAGGGGTCTGGTTTTAGGGCGCAGACTTGGGTTGATCTGGGCATTTGCCCAAGATTAGAGTGAGCAGGAAAGCTGGGCTCGAAGTCCAGGCCTGATTGCAAGGCTGCGTTCTGTCTTCTTCGTGCCCCCGTGTGTGCGCGTGTGTATCTGTTTGCATGCTCACAGCGCTCAGGTGGGGAAAGGCTGTGGTCCAAAGCCCACAAATCCACTGGTGGTTGGGCCCCAACCCAGCAAATACTCTGTCACGTCTCCCATTAGAGAAGCCTCAGCACCACTCATGGGACAGTCCAGAGTAGCGTGGTGGCGCGGCCAGCGCTGTGCTCCACACTTTGGCACGTGGGGGAAGGGAGCCCCAGTCTCCTGGTCTTGTGAACATCCTGTGGAAAACACCCACTCCCCTGGGATGGCCTTCCTCCCAGCCCTCAGCGTCCCTACTGGCTTGCTCTGGGTACCTGTCTCTGTTCCTTTCTGCCCATGGTCTCCTGTGGACTTTTCTCTTTTGCATAGCTCTCATACTGACCCTGCCATGGCTTGCCACAGCTGTGCCCTGTACATCCCTCTCACACGCAGGGGTGCAGGCCTCTCCTCTCCAGAGAAAACCACAGCCAGTAGCCAAACTCTGTGCCTCCATGAATGCCCTGCTCCCCCTCCCCCAGGTGGGAAGTCAGGCCGACCAACCTAGGGAGAGGGCAGCGCCCTGCCAGGGAGGCGCTGTGTTCTCACCAGCACCTCGCTCCCAGAATGGGCCACCCACCCCGAGAGGCCAGGCACGCTCCCACTCTGCTCCCCCTGGGCAGGCTTTAGCCTTTGGACCTGGGGGAGGATTTCTCCAAGAGGCCACAGCCAGCACCGACATGCACAGCCTGTGGTCTCTGCAGAGGACGTGGGAGGAGGAGCCGCCCAGCCCCTCGTCTGAGAGCTTGTGTCCCTTGGTGTGCTACTCCTGGGGAAGTAGCCCTGGCGCTGCGGTTTTGGGTGAGGATGACACAGGGACAGTGGACCTGTATATAGCAGGGACCATTTGTCTCCAGATACCGGTCCTTGTGGGTCTCTGTCCCAATTTTTAGGAGAGGGTCAGTAGCGTGTGTGTGTGTGTGTATGTGTTCTTGATCCTGGCCCCATTGGGCATAGCCCCACTCTGGGACGAAGGGACTCCCATGGGGGCCATTAGAGCTTGAAGGTGAGAAGACTCTTTGGAGGTGGGGTGGGGTCTGTGGGACTGCAGGGCTGGCACTACATCTGGCCCCTTGTTCTTGCTCTCAAGATGGATCTTGATGAATCCAGGGTGTGGGCAGGGAGTGGGGTGCAGACAAGGGTGCACTGGCTGTGGGGTGCACTGGTTTCAGATGGGGCAGGTGCATTGGGTGCATGTGGGGCAGGTTGCCGTGGTCATGGGGCGCCACCACCTGAGCTGATGTGGCGGCTGTGCAGGTTTTCCAGCAGGTTGACTTCAATAGGAGGCCCGGACGCATGAGCTCCAAGCCCATCAACTTCGCTGTGGTCCTGAAGTTGTCCAAGGTCAACCTGCAGGAGAAGGCCTACCGGGTGAGGCGGCGTCTAGGCCTCCCAGCGGGGGACCTGGGGTCATGGCAGACTGTGGCAGGGCACTGAGATTAGCTGCGACATGACTGTGGAGGCAGATGAGTTGGACAGGAGGGGACTTGCCACTATCCGGAGTATAAGCGTGGACCCTCATGGGTCTCCTGGGGTGGGGGGAGGGGCAGGTACTCCTTGGCCATGGCCCCCGTGAGTCTGAGTGTGGCTTCCAGAGAGGCTATGGGGTCACGGCCTCCGGGTCCCTGCTCTGCAGAGCGAGCTGAGCTGACAAGTCAGCCTGGATGGAAGTGGTCTGAACTCCTACACCCCCACCTATGCCCTGATGCTGTCCCCTGCCTGTGCTGCACAGGACGGCCTGCTGGAGCAGCTGTACGACCTCACCCTTGAGTACCTGCACAGCCAGGCACATAGCATTGCGTTCCCGGAACTGGCACTGCCTGCTGTCCTGCAGGTATGTGTCCGATGCCCAGCTCCCCCACCCCACCCATGCCCCTCGGTGGCTTGTTTAAAGGCAGACTAGACCGCCTTAACGGTCAGCTCCCCCCTTACATGGTGCACGTGGAGGCAGCCCTGTCTCAGCCACATAGCTAGCAGCACAACCTTACCAGCTCTGCGCTGACACCATCTGGCAGCCAAACTCCCGGGGCTGTGCTGCAGGGAACACGAGCTAAGGGGTGGGGCTGGTCTGGGCAGCTCAGCAAGGACTCCAGGACCAGACTGGGCCATGAGGTCTTTCCTGGGGAAGTTGGAACCAAATGGGCTGTGGGTCTGGCTGGTGTCCTGACTGCACGCTTCCCCACGGGGTCCTGGGTGTGGGTGAGGACTTAGGGCAGGCTCGGGTGGCAGGAAGCCCTGGCTGGTGCCAATGCAGACCCCACCTCAGCTTCCTCCAGGCAGCGCTGGGCGGTGGGGGTGGGGGGAGCCAATAGGGCGTAGGCGTCCTTCCTCTCGAGGTCCCTTCTGGGGCCCCCATGGGGCTCCATTTGCCTTCAGTGTAGGGGTTTCCCACCTCTGAAAGGCCTGTGCCTCATGGAAGCGTGGAGGGTTGCCTGTCCCTGTACGGCCCTGGGGGCGTAATCAGCCCCAACCAGTCACAGTCCTGCTTGGGGGGTGGGAGGGCTTCTCACACCAGATGGCACCTGGCTCAGAGGTCCTTCCAGACACAGATGCAAGAGTGCAGGGCTCTTATTTCTGAGCTCCAAGTCCCGGGGATTACGGTCTAAAACGGTCAGCAAATTTTTTTGGTAAAGAGCCATCTGGTATTTTAGACTCTGCAGTCCTCTGGATTCCACAGCGGCGTTAATTCTCTTGCTGGAGTACAAAACCCCACAGAGATATGTAATGAGTGTGTGGCTGTACAGCTTCATTCACGGAGGGGCACACTGGGTGTGTGCAGCCCTCAGGCCAGGCAGTCTGGACCATGTTGGTCACACAGGCCCCGCCCCCCACACACAGGTGTGTGCACTATGCCCCCTTCCGCCACACACACCCGCCTCCCTGTGGCCACATGTGGCTCTCACAGGCCCTGGCTGGTGACGGGGTGCAGAGTCACCCTGGGTCTGGAACAAGGCTGAGCCCCTTCCCTCTACAGCTGAAATCCTTCCTCCGGGAGTGCAAGGTGGCCAACTACTGCCGGCAGGTGCGCCAGCTGCTGGAGAAAGTGCAGGAGAACGCAGACCACATCTGCAGCCGGCGCCAGAGGGCCTCCTTCAGCGTGTCCAGCCAGCAGGCAGTGGTCAGTGGGGAGCTGGCGTCCGAGGGCACGTCAGCGTGTGGCTGGGGTTTGAGGGTTTGCCAGGATGGGCCGTGACCCTGCGTGTCCCGCCACAGGATGCCTGGGAGAAGCAGACACGAGAAGAGGGGACTCCGCTCACCAAGTACTACAGCCAGTGGCGTAAACTCCGGGACCGAGAGATCCAGCTGGAGATCAGCGGCAAAGAGCGGGTGGGGGCAGGGTCAGGGCTGGGGCCTAGCACTGGGACCCAGCCCCTAGCGCTGCCAGAGAGGCAGGAAAAGGGGCTGTTGGGGGGGAGAGTGGACCCGGGGACACACACTGGTGTTTGGGGGCTGCCCAGTTGTGTCCTGCCCTGGTGCCGTGGGTGCTGATGGATGGGACAGTTCCTGGCAGGGTGGCTGTCCAGGAACCCTGCCCAGTGATACTGACTAGAAGTCGCAGAAAAAGTGGCCCAGCAGGGTCCTTGTGTGGTGGGAGGGAGCAGGACTGAGTGTGCGAGGCACTCAGGCCAGCCTGATCAGGGCTCCTGCCAACGACTGCTCTGCGGTGGCTCTGGGATGGGGTCTCAGGGCTGCCTGCCTCCCCTCACCTGCTGCTCTGGTTCTGGGTTCTCCAGCTAGAAGATCTGGACTTCCCAGAGATCAAGCGGCGGAAGCTGGGGGACAGGAAGGATGAGGACAGGGTGGAGTTCAAGGACCTCTTTGACCTGGACAGTGATGAGGACAGTACCATGGACTTCTCAGAGAGAGGTGGGGGCCTGCACACCCCGGTCGTGCTCCTGGGGGAGGGCAGGCGTGCCTGGAAGGCGTCCCCAGAACTCCAGGAGCCAGAGGGCCACCCACTCGCACCTCAGTGCTCCTGTTTGCACGCCCTTGTCACCAGCCCCTTCTGCCCCTTCGCTTGCTCTGAGGTGTGTCCCCAGGCTCCACTTCCCAGGGCAGTTCTGAATCCTCCATGTACATGAAAGCTCGAGCATAGGGTGGGTGCAGTGCTGAGCCCAGCTGCCCCCAGTACGTGGGCCTGCTCCCATGGGCGCTTCTCCTCTGTCCCCAGGTACACCTAGGTCCTCTGGAGCTCAGCAGAGGGCTGGAGACGAGGAAGAGGACGGCAGCAGTAGCGGCGGCGAAGAATTCAGTGGCTCAGAGGGTGAGTGGTTCCTGGGGGTGAGGGCGCCCAAGGCTGTCATGGGCCTGGGTGAGAGGACGGCTCTAAGCTGGGCCCTGGGGATGCCAGGCCAGCTGCCCCATTCCTGCTGAATTCTGGCAGCAGCAGCAGCAACGGCAACGGCACTGGTAAATTAACTAGTGCTGAGTGACCCCAAGGCTGGCTTCTTCCTGATAAAGCAGGATTTGTGAAGCCTTGGTCCTTCTCTACAGAAGGAGGCCCAGACGTGGAGGCGGGGCTGGCCCCCCTGGAGCTGTGGCTGCTGGCCCAGGGGCCTGAGGATGAGCTGCAGGATCTACAGCTCTCGGAGGAGGACTGAGGGGCCCGCGTGGCTTGCGGGGGCTGACTGCAGTGTTCCCGTCTTGCCGGCAGTCGACCATGGGCCTGCAACTTCCTGGCCTGGCCGGCACTGAGCCCAGTGGCCCTGAGGTCAGCACTCATGCAGGGGGTGGACAGTAGATGGTGAGCAGGGTTTTATTTTTACAACAAAATGATCAAAGTACCAGGTGCTGTGCTGATCCCTGAAGTGGTGGCCTTGGGGTTGAAATGCACATGGAGCCTGCCCACGACTGCTCCCAGGGTGGCGGGTCCTGAGAGGGTCCCTGACCTCTTGCCTGATGTCAGGATGCTGAAAATCTCCCAGCAGCCCCAGTCCCAGAGGAGCCAGGGGCACAGCCAGGCCCCGCATGGCCTCTTGTCTTTGGTCTGCCTGTAGCTGCCCAGGGTACAGAGCCCCCCAGCTGTCTGTGCCGGGTTCTACAGCCACCCCATCTTTGGAAACACGTTCCTTTCCTCTTAAGTCACGTTTTCCTTTTTAAAATTGTTTTTGCATCCAAAACCAAAAGGAAAATAAGCCGTGGGGGTAGGGCCCTTGTCGTTGGAGCAGCCAGCACAGAAGGGCTGCGGGCCGAGCAGCCCGCTCCCACTCAGCACAGAGGCTGGGGGGGGTCTGCCGGCCCTGGGAGCAGAGCCATGGTACCGTTCTCTTGCTTGGGAGAGACTCGGCCAGCATAGGGAGAGGGGGTCATTGCCGGGGACAGGCGATGCTCCCTGGAGGCAGGCTCCCGCTCCGGTGCCCGCAGGGTTGGTGGCTGCAGTGGCAAAGCCACAGGGAAGCTGGCCATGTAGAAGACCCGGCCCAGGCGCTTGGCGACCTGCGGAGACATGGGCCAGGTGGGGCTTACGGCCACGGGCGCCCCGGTGCCGCCCCCTCCCTTGTCTGGGGACCGCCACCCCTGGTGGCACTCACCTGGGCCCGGATCTTGAGAGCTGGTCCTAGCTTCAGCCCCATGGTGGTCAGGAGGTGCTCCTCCGTCAGCAGAGGCAGGGTCTCCCCGTCTATGCCCTGTTCTCTGAAGACCTGGTGTGGGGCAGGGAGCTTGTTGGGCCCGAATGCCAGGCACGGCGCCTGCCCACCTGCTGCATCCCTCCGGCCCAGCAAGGGTCCCATCCTGGGTGGCTCAAGGCTCTCTGGAGAGCAGAGCCAGGAGGGTTGTCTGTGGTAGGAGAGAACAGTCTCCTTTGTGTTGGGCGTGTGTGAGTATCGAAGGCAGAAGCGCTGACATGGCAGGGGGACAGGGGAGCATGCACCAGTGTCTCCCCCACCCCATGTTTTGAGGAGAGGAAATTGGGGTAGAGAGGCCCAGAGGAATGGGGAGCTCAGGCGGGGGTCCCCCTCACCGGTGCATATTCTCCACAGCCAGACAGGCCCCCCACAAAGCTGCAGACATCGTCCACTGTCCACTTGCTGACATCCTCAGGGGTTGTGGCCTCCCCATCAGTGAAGAGTCCCCCCATGGTGCCTGGGTGGGGAGGGGGTGTTACTAGGGTTTGGGCCTGTCACCCCTATCTGTAGACCTTTGCCCTAACTTCAGAGACGTTGGATGGTGACTAAGAGCCATTGTTCTCCCATGGATGCCCTCCCCAGGGTGGGTCTCCTCCCGCCCCATGGGGGGATGAGAGCATTGGAGGTGCCCACCTGTGTGGAGGTAGGGGCTGACGGCGTAGGGCAGGCCCAGGGGCAGCGGAGAGGGAAGCACCGACCCTGGGAGAAACCCCTTCCCCTCTGAGCTGGCCTCTCCAGCTGTGGCCTGGCCCCCAACAGCCAACATCTCGGGGTCCTCTCCATCTGAGTCCTTGGGGGGCTCATCTTCAGAGCCGTCTTGTGCCCAGAGCCCAGTCCCCGTGGTCTCTTTGGGCTCGCTGGCATCAGTGCAGGCCGGGCTGGGGCCCCCCTTCCGTGGGGCTCCGCGGGTGGGCTCCCGGGGTGGAGTAGGGGGGCCGGGCCCTGGGGATCCCTGCGGGGGCAGGGCCAACAGTGGCGCAGAGCTGTGTCTCAGCACCAGCATGGCCCCACGGCGGGGCAGCTCCTCCACGCCATCTGGTGGGCGCAGTGCGGTTTGGGGCGCCAGCAGCTGAGGTCTGTGCGTGCTCTCCAAGTCCTTCTGACGCAGCAGCTCTGCGGACATCTCCAGCCTGGACCATGGGGAGCCAACAGCAGAGGGTCAGCCAGCTTGGCAGTGCCACCTCCTCCCCGTGAGCCGTGTCACCTACCTGGCCAGGTTCTGCTTCCGCAGGAGTTCCTGCTGCCTGGCAAACATCTCCGCCTGGGCGGGGGGCAGGAAGCCATAGCCTGGTTGTGAAGGGGACAGACAAGAAGCCAGGTGGCCCAGTGGGCCCGGGCTACCCAATCCCCTCCCCCAGTCTATCCGTGGCTTCAGCGAGTGCAGGGTGGGTCCTACAGGAGCACCGGTGGCCACAGCTCTGGAGAGGCACACCAGACGGCCGCATGCACGGGACCCTTCCCCCCCCCCCCAGGACAAAGGGCTGCAACACCCGCTCACTCCTCACCTGGGGTCTGGCACAGAGCCGAGGGCACCCCCAAGAGGGGAGGCCTGAGGTGGGGGCCCAGGGCGATGTGCGGGGCATTCTGAGATGACAGCAAGGGAGGTGGTTGTAACAGCTCCCTGTGGACGGCAGGGCGGTGAGCGCCGCGCGTCCCCTCCATTCCCGGAACTGCCCCGCCCCCACTCCAGCCGTCTCCGCTAATTGCCGGCCCGGCGGCGGTCCATGCGCCGCTCGCTCCGACTTCGGGTCGCGCACCGCCCCCGCCGGGCCCCCACTGGCGGCGCCAATTAATCTCTGCGGCGGCGCGGAGGCGCTGACCCGCCGGGCGGCGGCGACTGTAGCGGCGATTACTGCCGGGCGCGCCAGGGGCGGGGCGCAATTAGCTGCGATCCGGGAGGCGGCTGCAGACGCGCTGTGGGGCGGGGGTTGCCGCGTTGTTGGGTTTGCCCGGCGGAGACCGCTGTAGCCCTTTCCGCCTGGGTTCTCCGGGCCCCGACAAGCCCGGGAGGCCGCGTCCGTGCCGCAAAGGCTCGCGTCTGAATCGGTGGTACTGGGGGCGGGTATTCCCCGCCCCAGCTTCCAACTTTGGGGTTTCCAGGCCTCTCGCTGCCCCACTCTTCTGCCATCTGTCCCCTCTACACCACCCTCTTCACGGACTCCCCCAGTTTGCATCAAGCACCCTCACCTACCTGTTGGGGGAGCAAAGTCCTCCGCTGTCTCAGGGGCACCTGGATTCAGGGGATCCCACAGTTGCTCAATGCAGAGAAACTGCCCTTAACACCCTGTCCAGCGGGGTGGTCGCCCCACACATTCTGCGCAGCTCAGCGGGCGTCAGGCCCCTTCTGCACAGGCCGTGAACCTAGAGCTCGCGCAGTGCCTGGCACTCAGTACCCGCAGGGCTGTGTGGCAGTGATGGCAGAGTGCCCGAGTAAGGTACTGACAAGCTATGGTGGGGGAGGCTGTGGACCTGAGCTGCAGAAACTGGAAGATGTCTGCCCACCCCGGAAACAAGCACATGGAATAGGGAGGCCTCAGAAATGCAAGTGCCCCAGTACCTCTCTGAGAAGGACGGGGCGCCAGCTGGAGCGGTGCCCTCTCGGAGCTGAGCCAGGCCCTGCTTCCGACGTTGACCTGTGGATGAGGGCAGGTGGACCTCCAGACCACTGGGGCTCCTCACAGCCGCTGTGGCCACCTCCTGCCGGACCCTCAGGAGATCTGGGAGGGGGGATTGTGGGCAGCAGTCGTGACGCAGAGGCCAGGCTCCCACTGGGCTCTCTCTCCCCCCACCCTGGTGAGCCCAGTACAGTGGCCAAGGACACCACGGCGACGAGGAGCCCGCTGGAGCCCAGCCTCACCCACCCTGCCGGTGTGTCCCCGGGACAGAAAGATGAGCAGGCCATAGGGCAGGAGGCACACAGGTCACAGTGCAACACGCTAGAGGGTGCCGGGGTGGGGCGGGAGGCACCCCCATCCGGGGAAGCCTTTGGCAGGGATACGGGGAGGCTAGGAACCCAGTGCGGCGCCCCGCGAGGAGGGGGAGTAACCCACAGGCAAGGGAGGCCAGCGGCGCACGAAGGTCCATCCTGACAGGCGTTCTGGAGCCTTGAGGGGATGGGGTGTGCAAAGGCCCAAGTTAGGGCACAGCCCTGTTCCTGGAGGGCAGTGTGACCAGAGTCCAGGAGCTGGAGTGTGTCTCGAACCCTGGACTGAGGCTGCCCAGGTGACCCCTCCTAGCTAACACGCGGAGCACACTCCACGGTCTGATGCACTCTGCCGCCCATCCGGGCCCCTCCATCCTGCTCAGGGCCGGGCCTCTGAGTACCCCCGCGGCTCCCCACTTATGCAGGCTCTCGCCGCCGCCTGTTTATAAATTAATTACCCGAAAAGCGGAGGTGGGTCCTGCCCGGGCTGGGTGCCAGCCCGCAGAGCCCAGCCGGCGCGGCCGCCTGCTTGGATCCCAGCGGGGCCTCCGCGCCCCCGCGCGCGCCCGGCGGCCTCGATTATTTACAGTCGGCTCCGCAGCGGGGGCGGCGGCGCGGCGCCGTGATTGACAGCTCAGCTCCCGGCGCTGCTCCCCGGCGGCTGGCGCCCCCTCCCCCGCGCAGGCCAGCGGAGCCAGCCCCAGGCCGGGCAGGGAAAGCAATTAAAAAAGATTTTTAAATTATTAACATTTGGTGAATTATTCAGGCTCTCGGTGCCTGACTGCCCTGGGGGACAGTGCCTTGTGTAAGGAGAGGAAATCGTGCCCTTTTTTCAGCACCCCCTCAGCCACCTCCAGCCAGAAAAGCCAAGCTCCTCCAGATTGGGCTGGGGTCTTCGAGGTCAGGGTGCAGCTGGGAAGGGCGCTGGAGTGCGCCCCTGCGATGGTGGGTGGGACTGCTAAGTGAGAGGAGGAATGGACAGATGGCTGGAGCCAGCACGGGTGGGGGACCGCGCCTCCAGCTGGGGCCTCTTGAGTACCGGGGAGGTCCTGGAGGCCATATCCCAACTGCTGTCCACACTGCCTTCTGGACGTCCACCAGTGGACGTTCTGGGGCTGACTGCTCCCCTCCTCTTGGCCCCTGCTACTGGACACCCAGGGGCTCCCTGTTGGAGCAGCCCCGATCTGCAGCCGGAGTGGGAAGGCTGCAGCACACAGACCAGGGGTCCTCGGGAGCCCGCTTGGACTGGCTCAGCCCCGACCTTCCACTGTCACTTGGGCTCACCAGACTCAGTTTCTTCCTCTGTGAAATGACAGTGCCTGCACGTCGGACTGAGGGGGTGGCCCTGCTTAGTAAGAGACAGTGGGTGTGGGGCCACAGGAGACATGAAGGGGGGACCCCCAAGATCTACCCATATCCGTGGCTGCTTTAGGCAGAGGTAGGAGGAGAGTCATGCCTCCCTGTCCACCTACAAGGGGCTTGTGGGGGCTGAGGGGCTGACAGACCTGCATCCAACCTCAGCCTTGCTATCAGCAGCCAAAGACCCCAGGGCTTCTTTTCAGGGTGACTAGCGGCCTCCAGGAACAGGGAGATCCCAGGCACATACCATGGCCGGGGAGGCCCAGGTGGTAGAGACGCTGGGGGTCCTCAAAGGTGCTGGGCTCACTGAGTGCGGACACAAGCCGGCGATACTGGTCTTCGGGGGCCATCCTTGGCCCTAGTTCCGGCAGCAACAGAGTCTCTGTGGTGGGGGAGCACTCGGTGAGGGGTCTAAGTTCCACCCTCCCTCCTCCAGTGACCTGCACCCCCACCCCCGGTATGGCTCCCACCTTGGGGGGACTTGCTTCGGGCCTTCTTCTCCAAAGGGCAGTCACTGCTGACGTGGGGGGAGCGAGCCAGCCTCTTGCCCAGCAAGTCACCTGGGGGAGGGTAGAGTGAGCCCCACCCTGTGTCTCAGGGCCTGGAGGTGATGGAGGCTGGCAAGGACAGGGAGGCCCCAGGCTGGCCCCAGGCCCAGCTCAGCCCAGAACCACAGGCATCGCTGCTCAGGTGCCTGGTCACATCAAGGCCTTGCCAGGTGGAGTCCCAGGCCTTCTGCCAGGGGACGTGATACGGGGTTGGGACAGGGTGAGGGCATGGGACAGTGCTGACGCTGGGCTCTGGGCTCTCTGGGGTGTGTGTGTGTGTAGATGCAAATTTGTGGTAACAGCCTCAGGTGGCAACTCAGGACCCCACTGGTGCCCTTCTGCGCCCACCCAGCCAGACTGGTCTGTGCGAACAACGAGGCCCACTCAGCACCTTGGAGAGTTCGGGAAGACTTCTGATTTGACTGGGAACTACTACCTCCTGCTCCCAGAACAGGTGAGGACCAGCGGTACAAGGGTCTCAGGCCAGGGTGCCCCAAACTCTTCCTGCTCACAGAGGTCTCCTGGCTGTAGGACCCCGAGGCCACTTCAAGGCCCCTGAGGTTGGGCGCACCTGCCACCTCCACTGCTCCAAGGCACTTCACCCCGGCTGCACCCCTTGCTGCCCCCAGAAAGCCTGAGCCAACACCTGACCTTGCCTGCCCACCCGCCGAACGAACTGAGCTCTGGAGGGCACCTGAGCAGCCGTAAAGTTGTGCACAGCCCCCACCACACCTCCCCACGGCAGAGCAGTGGGGAACACAGGCCCCGCCGCCCTACGCTATTCTGTCAGGTCCCACATCCACGCCACACTTATCCAACTGCCTGAGCCAGCCCCTCTCCACCCTAGCCCCTGGCACCCCGACGCCATGCTCCCTCTTGAGCCCAAGGTCTCAGCTCAGCAGTGGTTCTGCTCTCCTCCCCACCCCCGTGCTGGCTCCCAGGTGCCAGCCCCCTCTCCATCCTCACAAGGCTGTCTGGGTGGGTGGGGTAAAGGAGATGCCGCCTCCTCTGTGACCCTGGCCCACTGTGACACCTGGGTGAGGGGGCTCTCCAGAAGCCCTGCCATTAGCTCCAAAGCCTAATTCCTTTTCCTTATTCCCTTAATCTGTCATTTTTATCAGACCGGGAAGTGCAGCACGATCAATCTCCACTTTACAGCTGACAGAATGGTGCTAATAACTTATCGATCTTGGCCACCTTGCTGCCACTGGCCTGGGCCCAGCGGCCCAGCCCCATGCCCTGCCCGGTCCCTACCTCAGGGACCCACCGGGAGGAGGGCGGGTACCACCAGCATGAGGACCCTGAGGAAGTCATAGTTCGCCCCCACCAGCCCCGGAGCATCAGGGCCCCAGTCAGGAGTACCCGACGTCCAGCTGTGGGTCTCGGCTGGCCCCACACCCCAGCCCCACACCCCCGTCTGGTCTATGATGACCCAAGGCTTGCACTTCGCCATGAAGTTTCCCATTTTCAAGGGTGGAACAAGCCCCTTTCTGTTAGGGGTGGGGGGGGGCTCCTCCTTCTGGGGAGGTAGGGCTGAGGGTGAAAGAGGCTGCAGTGAGGTCCTGCCACAGGGGCCTGGGGCTGCACCAGTGCTTGGTGAGGGACACAGTCACCAGACGCCAGCACGGACCCACTCCCACTCTCCTCAGGGGCCAGGACAAGGGCTGAGGGGAACAAGGGAAGCCTGGAGCCAGCGTGTGTGCGGGGCACTTTCTGCCGCGCACGTGAGCCGAGGAGCCCCCATGTCTGCCCTGGACCTCCGCATGAAGCGAGAGGGTTGACACCTTGACACAGAATGTGGCATGGTGACACCCAGACACGGAGTGCTGAGGCCCCAGGCACATACGCAGCTCTGGCTGGGAGCGGGGCGCACGTGCCTCTGGGGCACACACACAGTGTGTCCAGGCACCTGAGGCTCACCCGTGCTGGGGAGGGCCGGCTCAGAGCACCACAGCCATTGCGGGGCTCCTCCCAGATCAGGCTCCTCCAGATCGATGGCGCAATTAGATTTTATCAGCCGCCTGCTCAGCTGCCTCCCACCCCACCCCCACACAACACAGGCAGGTGTGGGGGCCCAGACAGGAGACCACCCCTGCCCAGCCTTCCTGAGAAGGCAGCCACTGCCTAGGGTTTGCAGGACAGCAAGGGACCCCTGCCAGCTCCTTTCACCCCCCCTGTCCCCTCAACTGTGCCCCACTCTGCCCCATCCTCAAGGGGCCCCTCTCTCTGAGCTCCTCTCCCCCACCCATTCTCAGGTGACGGACCCATGCTCCGTGGGGGCTGTGTATGTCCTTGCAGGCAACGCGTTTCTGAGAACGTCAGGCCTTGCACATCCCTGTCTGTCCTGCTTTCCTCTGTCCCGATGAGGAGTGGCTGGCGGTGGCCTCGGCCACTCCAAGTCCACCCAGCAGCAGCCTCACCGCTCCACCCATCTGCCCAGCTGGCTGGCTGGGATTAACACAATTACCATCACACAGAGCGCCCCCCCCCATGCTCCCCATCACCACCACCACCACCACAGGGGACAACCGGCCTCCTCCTCTGCCCTCCCTGGCAGCCTGCCAAGGCTGCTGAGGGTGGCAGTACCCAAAGCCACTAAGCGGAGACACTGGGCGGGGCAGGCGGGCTGTCCCCCACTGAGCCACTGTCTCCAGGCACCTCACCTGTGGCCCCCAGGCCGAGGTCCACGCCGCCTCTCTGGAACTCACAGCGGCTCTGATGCTCGGGCATAACGAGGTGGCCTCCCTGACACAGGCTGGAGACAAGGGTGGGGAAGTCACTGTCCTGGCTGCAGCAACACAAGAAGGGAAGGGAGACCCTGAGAGGCCATGTGCCCAACGGGAACACGTGCCTGACCTAGCTCAAGTGTGGGGCGCGTGTCACCTGGGCACAGCATCTTGGTGTGGCAATGCCTCTTGCATGCTGCTGCTGTGTGGCCTGTGACAGCACATGTGAGTGTATCCAAGAGAAACATCTCATCCCCCAGGGCCTGCCAAGTGTGTACTCTCAGTCCCCAGGGACGGTCTGTGTGCAGCCTGGCCACACTGTCTCCAGAGCCACCAGCCACCGACCACATCCCTGCCCCTTGCTCAGAGCGCAGCCAGGCACCCACCAGGGGAACAGGCGCCCAGAGAGCGCACCTGTCACACAATACGTCACTACTGCACCAGCTGCTTCAGAAAGAACGCTGCCCACGCTGTTTCAGCTAAAACTTGCAACCAGCCGTGGACCCCCAACTTCTTCAAGTCAGGAACCCCAGGGTCAGGCCACAGTCCAGCAGCCAAGGAAATGCATGTTCGAGGACACACGGGCCGCAGATGCAGACAGGCACACACACAGACGGGAGCCTGGTCCCCTGGTGTGCTTATGACACGGCTCTCCCCAAGGCTGCCCGCTTGGAGTGAACACATTTAACTGCTTTGTTCCCTCATTTCTGGTCCTGCTAAATCAGCTCAGTCCTACATCACAGAACCCCAGGCAGAGGAGCAAGTGAGCAAACCCCAGTGTGATAGGGGTTCTGAGAGCATCTCCCTTAGTCATCACAAACAACGGTCACCCCGCCACCTTGCAGCCTGGAGCCACAGAAAGTTAGCACCGGACAGAGGACAAACAGGGACAGCCCAACGCTCCCCCCTCCAGCCCCTTGCTCCCTGGCCCACCTGTAACAGAGCAGCCCTCCGGCCGCTGCCAAGGGGACCTCCGCAGAGTGACCTGGGAAAAACCCTAAGCCTCATTAAATAGCCCCCTGGCCCGGGCAGCTGCCGCTAATCCCAGCTGGCCCCTAAGCAGATCAGTTTCAGCACCAAGCATGAGGCCTGGGCCCCCTCCCTACCTCCTCCCCAGGAGAGACAGGCGCTGGGTGGGTGGGAGCAGGTCCTCCAGGGGACTAGCTGGCAGCCACCCCACCCCCTCGCATCCTCATCACTGGGGGTGGGGGGAGGTTGGAGGCGGAGCACTGCTGTCTCAGCACCTGGGAGGGGCTGGGGCCTGGAGGCGGGGCCAAGACTGCCTGAGTTCTCCCTTGAGGGGACCCCTTTCTGGTGGCCCCAGACTCCTGCGGGAAGTGAACCAACTCCGGGGAGATGAGCAGGTGAGGACAGGCCCCCTCAGTTTGTTCCCCATGAACCCTCAGCCCAGCCCCACACAGGGGCCCGGTCTGTCCCCACCCCCACGATGGCCAGCAGCTTTCACTTGCTGGTTGGTCATTCGGGCCCCTGCTGGGTGCTGTGGCCTCGTGGGGGTGATGCCTAGTGGGAATCAGGACACCCTGCTCTCTCTGCCTTGGGGGTTCACCTTGCCCTGCCCAGGAAAACCTGCTCTGGGCACTGAACAAACTGCCGGAAAGAACCACAAAGAAGCTGCACACACCAGACTGAAAGTGCGTGAGCCCTGTTCCTGGCATCCCAGTGTGAGGTTCCCACAGCCATGAAAACACCCTCCTCGTTACCCACAGGGAGGAGGCCCACCAGAGTTTTGGAGGCTGTCCGAGGGGGCGGGGCATGGGATAGCAGATGACCCAGAGCCTCAGGGAAGGGGGCGAGTGGAGGAGGGTGTGCTGGGAGGCTGACAGGAGAAGGACCTGACACTTCAGACCCCAACTTGCGTTGAGGGCCCCCCTGAGCTCCTCCAGACTCCCTCTGCGACCACCATGCTGTCCAGTCCTTGTCCATCTCTTGGCCAGCTCAGAAGCTTCAAGTGGACAGGGACCACATCGCCTGCCTGCTGCCCCATACGTGGGGCGTAAAGGGGAGCTCCAGGCAAGCATACTGGTCCACTGCAGGGTCAGAGCGACTGAGGGACAGGGAATGAATGGACAGACGATGGACAGACTGATGATACAGCCAGATGAACAGACAAATGGAGAATGACAGATGGAGATGGACAGGCAGATGGAGTGAGTGGTGGTGGCAGACAGGCATTATGGGACAGATAGATGGAGCCCAAGGACAGACGGGAAGAGACAGACACGGAGCGTGCAGGCAGCGTGAGGCTGGGCTGTGTGCCCTCCCTGGACAGACGGGGTGGGGCACATGGGTTGTGTCCTCTTGGCCACGCCCCCACCACAATTTCCCCTCTGGAAAAATCCAGAAACTCATCTGCGGCATTTCTAGATCCTGTGTCTGGACACTTAGGATACTTTCCCACTAGCTAAGGCTGTGCGGAGTTGGGGGAGGGGGGCTGCAGGCAGAAGGAGCAGCCCCTGGTCCCCTACCGCTTTCGCTGACAAGTCATCCTTACACTCCCCAAGCACAAGCCTCGTAAAATGTCACCAACGCTCATGACGATGCATAAAACCATCAGCTAAGCAGTCAGCTTCAACATGGGGTGCAAATAAGTTTGAAGATCTTTCATTGTAATCTGGCTCCAGGACCCAGGCATTCTCCCAGACATAAATAACAACGCACCAGGCACAGAGCCCGGCCAGGCGTGGGGAGGACAAGCCCAGGAAGCCCGGCCAGCAGGGTGCCCACTGCCCACTGGGCCCTCATCCTGTGGCCTCCCCAGAGGCCCGGGCTAAGGCTTGATCCCAGTGACCAGAAACCACAGCCTGGGCCCCACCCATGACTGACCATCCCTTTCCCGTCTGGAACCCGGACCCGGGTCTCCCCAATGCTCTCCCCGACCTCCTCATCAGGTCCCCTCATTTTTATCTCCCTCCATCCTGCTTCCACTGCCTGAATCAGCACGGACTGGAGCAACCCCCCAGCCTGCTAGGCCAGGCCTCCAGAGGACCTTTTCAAAACATACACCTGGTCATGCTCCTGCTCAAGAAGTTTCGGCTCCCGCAGGCTGGAGGAACGCCCAACAGGCCCACCACCCAAAGCGCTTTAGTGTCTAATTGAACTATACCTACTGGCTTCCCTCTCTTCCTCCCCGCCCACATCCCCTAGCCTCGTTTCTCAGCCAGTTCCCTAGTGAATTCCTATGCATCCTTCAAGACCCCTCTCACATTCTCATTCGCAGCTCCTGGTGGGTCTCTGGGAGGGTGGGAGGGGGAGGTCACGGCCTCATCTTTAGGCAGATGGGCTCAAATGGCCAGTCTTGTGTGGGAGGGGGGGTGCACTCTGCCTCCAGGGTTGGGCTGCCCAGAATCCACAGCTGTGCTGCTGTGAAGACCTGGGCACAAGTTGACAAACGGACTGACCACATACTAAAGAGGGGAAGAAAGGGTGGGAGGCTGGAGAGATTTCGAAGCAGACCAAGGGGAAGCGAAACAAGACCACCCTGCCCGCACAGGACCCTACCTGCAGGACATCTCTCGGAAGGAGATGTTCACATCCCAGTGGGTGTGGACTCTGCAAGGAGAGAAGCAGAGGATCAGCGTGGCCTGTAGGACCCGGCACCTGGACAGCAGGGCTCGTGTGGGGCATGTCCCCATCTGCCCCGAGCACCGGCCCGAAGGCATTGGGCTGGCTCGGACGGTCTCCAGCGCCATCTGGTACCAGTACAGCCGGCTGGCAGCTGCCACTGGGACAGGCTCACGGGGCAGAAGCCAGCTCCTGGCTTCAGCAGACAAGGGAACTGGGACGCTTTGAGCCTGGGCCGCCATATCTCTTTCTCTTGTTGCAGGGGCCCAGAGGGGCTCCCATGTTGTGCTGGGGTGGGGGCTGCAGCTTTCTCTGCATGTCACTCATGAGACTGAACCCAAATTCCTAGTCACTAGAACTGTCCCAGCTGAGATGGAACCAGGTCAGGCATGGATGGTTGGGCGTCAGCCCAGGTGAATGTAGGCCCCCGGGTCCTAGCTGCTGCCCAGTTTCCTCCCAAAAGTGACCACTGCATAGCGGTGGCAGCAGGAAACAGCCGTGCCCTATGCCCACACCTTCACCCACAGCAGTGTCCTTGGGAAGACCCGTGGGCTGAGGGAGGGCAGTGGGCGGCCTGTGTGGTGCCTCACTTAGGTGAGTGTGGGTGGCTTGGGGATGAGAGGAGATTCTAGGGTGGGAGAACCTGGGACATGTTAAAAGACTCAGCGGTGGGCCGGCCGAGTGGCTATGTTGGTTAAGAGCTCGCTCAAGGGTGTGAGCTCTAAGCAACAGCAGTTCGAGTCCCAGCCCGAGCTGAGCTGCCAACAGGTGGCGGGATGGCTCAGCTAAAAAAAATAATAGACTCAGCGGGAACAGAAAAGGCCTGGAAATTCTGGGGATGTACAACACATCCGTACAACAGATACGGATGGACAAAGGGGTTAGTGGACAGAGGACGTTCCTCTGCCATGAGGGGAGCGAGTGTGAGGTCAGGAAGGGTGGCCTCAAGCCTGGAAGGGACACTGAGGAGCCAGGAGAACTGCTAGCTATCAAGGAGAGTGAGCTCCCCTACTGCCCTTCTCCTGAGCCCCTGGGCAGACCCCTCCCTGCCCCCTACCAGCAGTTCTGTCCCTCTCAGCCCTTTCTCCACATGGAATTGCATGGGCCCCTCCCTGGCCCACCGCTGGTGGTGCCTGCCCCCCATCAAAGTGATTGATCCCTGGCTTGGCCCTCGGTCCCCAAGTGGGGGCAAGGTGGGCTCTCACTGTGGTCCTGTGAAGTGGAGGAGGCTGGGCTGTCCCTGGGGGTCCAGGCTTTGTTTCAGCTGTGGCAGCTGCTGATAGCCCGAGGCACAAGCTAAACTCAGGCCCTGTCCCCAGGGCAAAGGAATCCCCCCAGGCCTGGATGTGCCTTTAGCCGCCTGGAGACCTATCTTGATGTCCCTGCCCCCGCCAGAGCCCGTGAGCCCTCCACCTGGTCCTCAGTGGACACACCTTCTCTTCATGATACGAACGTGAGGGTCGTTCTCCTGCTTCAAACCCAGATGCTGCCCACAGGCCGGGCCACTCCCATCACTGTCGCCATCACTGGACAAGAAGCTGGGGGTCAGTTCCTTCTTTAGGACTCGCGCAGGGGGCAGGGCAAGTGTCCTCTTGTCTGCCAGACGCCCCCGATTCTGGGCAGAGTGGGACGAGGAGAAGGTTAGGTCCCTCAGGCCCTGGGCGGCTGGCACCCCAGGCCTGACCCCCGACGCAGCACCCCGGTGACAGAAGCCCTCACTCAGATCAAATAGGCACAACCAATCGCCAATGCTTCCCACTGCCCCACCTGGAGTGCAGGGGCTTCCAGCCTCCAGGACAGGCCCCAGGGCTGGCAGGAGCCACAGCTGACCAGGGCCCAAGACAAGAGCAGCGAGGCCTCGGTCAGAGCCTTGCAGACCACCTTCCTGCTCAGCCCATGCTGAACTGCAGAGAGTGCTGAGGCTGGGGGCGCACCCCAGCCAGGCTGCTCTGGGCACTGCCTCATCCAGACCGCACACTGTAGCCCAGCTCCCTCCATGGCCATCAGCGTAAGTGTGAGGTGCCCCAGGGAGGCAGACCCCACTTTCCCAGCTCCCTTCACTTTTCAACATGTACTCTGCCATGTGTGCATATGCCTGGCGACCCCACTGAGATTCTGTGAAACCCCAACTGAGACCAAGTCCCTTTCCATTCCGTTAGTGCTGGCAGAGCCTGGCTTGAGGATGGTGGTGGGGGGGCGGATTTCAAAGCTTGAGGCCTGAGCCTGCCGACCCCTTGCAAATTGCAGGCTGAGAGTTCATAGGTCTCCTGCCCAGGAATCCTGACCAGCCAGACCCTTTGTCTCAGGAGCCCTGAGAGACTCCGATTTTCCCTTTGCCCACAGTGGGTATGGTGAGACGCCCAGGCACGGAGAACAGAGCGGGAAGCCGTGTCCTGTGCCTTGGCCAGGGCCCCACGCACCATGGCCTCCAGTACCTCTAGGTCCTGCTGCCCCAGGGGGAGAAAAAAAGTTAATGATGGTTTTCTGGTGGGTAGGAAGCTTTTTCTCATTTAATAACAGGTTAGCAGCTCATGGAGGTGGCAGGGACCTTGGGATTCTTTCTCATCTTCCCGGTCAGTGGGCCCTCCTTTGAGCCCCATGTTCCTGCTGCCAGGACTCCAGGAGCAAAGGGCCAAGGAGGGACTCGCTGCTCCCTGGACCAGTCGTCCTGGACCTAAAGGACAGCTGTACGGCCATCACAGTCCCTTCCTCCAGAGAAAGGCTCTCTTCAGCCCCAGGAGCCACCGTCTCCCCAGAACCTGCCCAACGAACCTCCCGGGACTCCCTTTCCTCTGCACACACTCTGTGGGCTTGACTGGGCAGCCCTGAGGCCTGGCAAGGTCTGAGTGTAGGAGTGGGCCAGGTGTGTCCCCTGTAAGGCCCTGGTCTTGGCTCTGCTACACCAGTAACATCGGAGCGTGGCCAAGGCTGCAGGCGTGGCTACCCATCTGGTCCCTGTGCCTCTTCCTGCCAGCCACTGGGCTCAACAGCCCCCCCCCCACCTGTGTGGAGTGCACTCTGCTGGGAAGTCCCCCTCAACTCTGCCCTTCGCTAGCCTGCTGCAGCCCAAGCGCCAGGACCTCCCCTCCTGCTTCTGCTTTCCTTAAACTCGCATAAGAAGAAAAGGAAACACGTGGTCCTCTGCTTCTCATCTGTAGGACAGGAAGAGGAGAGGGACAAGGCAGTGGTTGAAGCTGCCGCTTGGGATGATGGCAGATGAGCTACGCTAGCCAGGGTGGCTCTGGGGGTGCTCCCGTGGGAGGGGGGCTCCAGACGAGAGACCGGGATGGGCAGCACTGACTCTGGCCAAGGACGGGGAACACAATGCCTCCACGCACGCGTGAGACCTCAGCCTTCGCCCTGCTCAGCAGTCCAGATGTGAATGCTGGGTGCTGAGCCTCTGCCCCCAGCCACATGCTGGCTCCTCAGACTGTGAGGGTGGGCGTGCACAGGCTGTTTGCACGGCTGCAAGACCCCTGTGCCACGTGGACCCCCAGTCTGCCCCGGGAATCTGTAAGTGTGCTCAACCCGTGGACCTGGCTGTGGGTTGGGGGAAGCCAGTCTCTGTGGAAAAAGCGGGGGCTGGAAAGACAAGGGGGTCTGTGGAGCCTTCAGGGAGGGGTGCAGGGCAGGGACCTAGGAGCTTCAGACAGACTGTGTCCCCTGTCCAAACCCCATCCAAGCAGTGTCCTCCCACCAAACTGCCTGGAGGGGCCCAGAGGACCCCTCTGCAGCACCAGCTGCAGGAAGGAGCGGAGGTGGACAGAGAGCTGGGCCTCGCGCCCCAGGCCAGTATGGTGGGCTGTAGGCCTGTGTGTACTCTGTCTCCACAGCGCCTGTGTAGGACGATGTGTGGGGTGGGACGTGGCTGTCCCCTCCCCCTGCCCAACTTGTGTGTCTGACCTCATGTCTGTCTTCACAGCTGTGTCTGTGGCTTTCCAGCTGGCCCAGGGAACCTGCCCCCAGGGCCCAAGCGGAACCCAGGACATCTCCCCCACCCGCTGCCAGTCCAAAGACAACAAGCTTAAGGCAAGGCCAGGGGCCCGGGTCTTCTCAGGCTCTGTCTCTCCCACCCCTTCCTGCCACAGGGAGCTGCTGAGTGGTGCCTGGAATAGCAGTACAACACCCCCTCCCCCAGGGTCTCAAAATTGGTCCCTTCAGAATACAGCTTCCTTCTCAGGTCGGTCCTCCCTGAGGACAAGTGCTGGGACAGGCTCCCAATCTCCCCTGCTCCCCTAGGCCATGAGGGGCTCAGTCAGGGTGCACACAGGCCAGGGACGCACCAGCCTCCAACCAGCCTCCAACCAGCCTCAGGTCTCTTGATACCAGAGGCCCACACTGCACAGATGCTGCCCCAGACACTCCTGGGCACCCAGGGCCCAGCCCTGGGCACCGAGATGCAGGTCACTCACATCCAAGCCTACAGCCACCCCAGAACACACATCTGGACCCTCGTCCAAGCTGGAACAGACGACATGGTGACACTCAAGCCTTGTGACAGGGCAGAGTCCCCAGGCCCCATTACTCCAGGGAGCGGGACTTCAGGAGCCCCAGGTTGCCACCCCCTATTTTCCCCAGGGGCTCCCTCCTGCACTGGGGCAGGCTTGGAGTAAAGCCTCCGTATCCCATAGCACACACACAAGTTTCACAGACCCCGAATCCCCCGCTTTTCTCTCACCACCGGGGAAGATATCCGACAGCCCGGACAGTCGCAGATCGGAGGGTGCACCTGCAGAATCCCCTTGGACATAAGCGTCTTCAGACTTTTCCCTGCGAGGAGAGCCGAGGCAGGACGAGTGAGGGAGTGGGCGGCACAGCTAAAGCCCACGCGCGGGCACACTTCCGGGCTCAGTCCGCTGCAAAGCCGGCCTCCGCCCGGCACGTGTACGAACACCCACCTGTGTCCGACTTGCGAACCTGCCACCCAGCCCCACCGCCCGCCCCAGCCTCTCGGACGCCGCGGGGATTTGCAGAGCTCAGAAACTGATGAAGGACAGCCTCCTCCCCCTCCTCGCGCGCTCCCGGGGCTCCACGCGGTTCCCTGGAACCCGGAGCAGGGCCGGGGAAGGTAGAGCCGGGCGCAGGTGAGAGGCGCCGTCAGGACCTGGGGCTGCGCCTGACCCTGCGGCGGGAAGAGGGCGGCCACCGCGGAGCCGCGAGCCCCAAGGTCGAGCGACACTGGGTCCCCAACTTTCTAACTCCCCCCATGCCGGCGCCTGGCGCTAACCGCGCTGCCCTCCTTCGCTCCTGCCCGTCGCGCCCTTGGAGCCAGACTCCTGCGGGAGCCCAAACAGGCTGCTCCCAAGCCGCCGCAGCTCCTGCTCCGCGCGCGCCTCCGCCCGACGCGCGCCCCCGCGGCCCCCACCTGCCAGCGCCACCCCTACGCTTTGCCGTTCCCTCCAGCAGTGCGCACCGGCTCCCTGGCCGCATGTGTGCCCCTGCTCTCCTGTCAGAAGTGGTGGCTCCACGCCCGGGTGTGTGTGTGTCGGGGGGAAGTGTCCTACCCAGCCGGCCACCGCCTGCTCTCCCGAGTTCCCATAAACTTCCCCTGAGCCTCAGGAATCTCGAAAAGACCTTCGGAGCGGTAGGCGCGGCCGGCTAGTGCGCATCAGGGAGCCAGGGCACCGCGGCTGGAGCCGGGGGAATCGGGGAGGCCGAGAGCTCTTAGCCCGGCTCCACCGAGGCGACTGCGCTGCGGCGGGGGGCTGGAGGGGGGGGGCAGTGTCCCTGCGGCAGCCCCGGAGTCACAGCGCCCTCTCCGGGCGGTGATGGAGTCTCCCAGATGAAGGAAGGAGTGGGGTCCGGACCCACGGGTCCCCGGGAGCGGAGGGGAGCGGCCCGCGACCCCACCTCCGGCGCACCTTTGTGGCGGATGCTGCGTTTCCAGTCCTTGGCCGTCTCGCGGCCGCTGACGAACTGGAACTCGTTGGGTGTGAGCCACTCGCCGCGGTGGCGGATGGACGGCCCCTTGCTGCCCTGGCAGAGTTTGCGCACGTAGAGCAGCGCGCGGTTGGCGCCGCACTCGACCTCGATGCACGGCTCGCCGTTGTCCAGCAGCGGCTGGAAATCCGGTGCCGCGGCCGCAGTGGCCGAGAAGCGCTCGAGGGCCAGGGGGTCCCGGGGCAGGTGGAAGCGCGGGGCTGCCTCGTGCAGGCTCAGGTAGGCGCGCGGGGCGCGGAGCGGCGGAGCCAGCAGCGCCTCGTAGCCGGCGGTCGCGGCGGGGAGCGAGGCGGCAGGGGGCAGGGCGGCCACCGCAGGCAGTGGCGCCAGGTAGCCAGGCAGCGGCGGCACCGGCAAGGCGGCCAGGGTCGGGTGGAAGGTGGCGAGAGCCAGGGCCAGGTCCTCGCGGCACGGGAGCTCCTTCTTGACGGCCGGCATGGCGGGCCGCTGGTCCTGCAGCCTGGCTCCCTGCCGCCGGCGCAACTTGTTCCGGCCCAGGTCGGAGTTGGGTCTCGAGGGTGGGGGGCCCGGGAGGCGCCTGGCCGCGCGCCCGCCCTTCCCGCTACTGCGCCCCGAAGCCGGCAGCCGGCCCACCTCGGACCGCTGCCCGGCCGGTTGGCGGGGTCTTGGCTGCCCGAGGCATGGTGCTGCTATCGATCTCGAATCGACGTGCCGGGCACCGCAGCTCCAGGGCCCTGGGGCTCCACGGGGCGCCGGGACACCTGCGCCCGCGCCCCCTGGGGCTGCCCTGCGCCCCGCTCGCTGGTCCGCCCGCCAGGCCGAGCAGGGCAGTGAGGAGTCGGGAAGTCTCGGGCCCCGCGCCCCGCCTGGGGGTCCCAGGCCCCCGCCCCGCCCCGCTCCGCTTCCCGGGCCGCGCACCCGCGTACACTGGCGCGCGCCCGCCCGGCGGGGACTTGGGAGACTCCCGCCGCCGCCGCCGCCGCCGCCGCCGCCGCCACAACTTGGCCCATTTAAACGGCCCCGGCGCGGCGGGCGGGCGCGGGATCCAGCAAGGGGTGCGTGACGGCCGACCTGGCTCACACGGCGGGAGGCAAGACAGGGCTGCACCCCCTGCTCTATTCCCGAGTGGTCGAAGCTGGGAGGAAGGGAGACCCAGGGTCTGGGGGGTGTAAGCGGGCTAGCGAGATGTGGCGCGCACCGAAAGCGCCATTGTAGAGGGAGTGCGGGACTCCAGGTGGGGCCGGGGCAGGCCAGGACCGGAGCTGGCTCCTTCCGGAGGGGGGGGGTCCGGCCTGGGCCTGGCCCGCAGGGTTGGCGGGTGTGAGTGTGAGCCTGCAGCTCTGGGTAGGAGTGTGCACGGTGGGTGGTGGGCGGGCATCTGTGCCCAGAGGGCAGAGGGTGTGGGGGTCTCTGCACTTACAGGGTGTGGGCCAATTTGTGGTGTGTGTGTGTGTGTGTGTGGTCGGCGGTCATCTGCTGCGAAGGTTTTGTGTTTTGTGACTAAGAGCCGTCACAACCCTGTGGATTGTTGCCACCTTACTAGGCACTTGACACGTGCTAGTTCACTAGGCTGTCCCCACTTTATAGATGAGGAAGGTGAGACACAGAGAAGTCAAGTAAGTCTGATGTCACAGCTGTTTCAGATCCAGGCTGTCTGACTCCAGGACAAAGAACCTCAGCCATGGTGTGGGGCAGGAAAGTGGGCTGGACCCAATCTGGGTGAGGGATGGGGGTGTGGGGAGGAGGAGGGTAGCTGAATGTGGGGTTCCCTGCCAGGAGCAGGCCTGGGTAAAGACCTGCTACATCCATGTCCACCTTGATGCCTTGGGGGGGCGGCCCAGCCTCAGCCCAGGCCTGGGTCTTGTGCGCTGGTGGCCAACCCACACCTCCGTGGGAGTCAGCAGCATGTCAGCCTCACAGCGGGAGAATGAGGAAGAAAAGCGGAGGAGCCTGAGGCTTTGGTGAGACCGGCTGTGTTTCTTTGGTGCGTCATTTTGGATAAGCTAGAAAGTGGTCTCAGACCCTAACCCCTTCCCTTCTGAGCTGTACCCTGGCAGGGCTTCTGTGTGAGCAGCTCCTGACCAGGCTCTGGGGCTGCGTCACTGAAGCGCTTGCACGAGCATCCTTGTGTAAGGGAGGGGCTGGGAGTGGGGACACACCTCCTGCCAGACGCCTGGCGCCAGCCGGGTGACCGTTGTGCTTTCCCTCACTGACACATGCTTCTCACATCATCCTCAACTGAGGCACCAGCTGACCCCAATACCGGCCTGGGGAGCGAGGTCTGGGCTCAGAGCAGGAATGTGTGTGGGAACCTGTGCACCCCAACCTCTGCCTCCTCGCTTTTGCTTCCTGCATTCCTCATACATTGTCAGCCGCGCTTAAGGGCCAGATGGGAGTGTGGGTATGAATGTGAGCGACCCTTCCTCGCTTCGCCACCCATGGCCCCATGGCCCCATCTGCAGCCTGAACCCCTGCACATGCCTGACCCCAGGTGTGACAGTTTGGGAACTCCCCCGGCAGCCGCCTCTGTGACCTGTCTTGCTGTGCTGCCTCCATGTCCAATGGCCGCAGGAGGCTGTCCCTGTCCTAGAGCCAAGGCCCACAGAGGAGCCATCGTGTCCGTGCAGAGGCTGTCAGGTCTCCGCTGGGGGACAAGCGGGAGGCTCATGCACCTGCTGTCTGGTCACAGCCCCGACTCTGCTGCCAAAAGACAGTCCCCTGCACCCAGCTCTTCTCATGCTGGGTGCACCTGCGCTCTGAGCCTCTGGCCTCCTCAGCCCCGAGCTTCACACTGTTTTGGGGATGGAAGGCTGGTAAAGCATGTGGTGATCTGAGCAGGTCCCACTCAGCTGTCAGGCCAGGTCTCCTCCAACCTGAGCCTGTGGAGGGGGCCTGCCTCTCCTCCTGCAGGACCCCTCCCTCATCACCGCACAGGTCCACAGTGGTTATGGAGGACCGTGGGGGCCCAACTCCTCTTTCAGGGGAGGAGCTCAGCTGGCCAGGTGTGGGGTTCACCTAGCTCACCCAGCCTGACGGCCAGGACACCATCAGGCTCCACCATTCTCTAGAGGACCAGGGTCCCTTTCTGAAAAGAGCATGACTGAGTCCAAAGCTCTGAGCTGGAGCCTCTCCTAAAGGGCTACTGCCCGACTCCTTGCAGACCTCGCCCACCAGGGGTTGTCCAGGGCCTTGGCTGATCAGGGCAGTTTACCCCCACCTGTTTCCCCCTCTTCATGGGAAAGAGACCTCTCTGGTCTCGGATGTCAGAGCCACTTTCTCCCTGGGACCAGACATTCTCACTCCTGGACATCATACCCACAAGGATCTGTTGACTTCTTCCCACCTGTCTGTCTACCTGTGTCTTGGTCTGGCACCTGGGCCCACAGGTTCCTCTGCACTTCTCAGACTGGAACCAGAGGCTAGAGTGACAGAATTGTGACGCTAGAATCACCCCCAGCCCGCAAGAGCAGGTGGGGTCTACCGCCACAGTCCTTCCTCCCGCCTGCGGAAGCCCCGCCCCCGCTCGCGGTGCCCCGGCTGTCGCTGCTCTCGGTCCCCCCCGCTCAGGGCCCTCCGCCGCTGGGCCGAGGCCGGAGCCGCTGCTGCCGCCAGGGAGGGGGAGGGGGTCATAAATAACCCGCGGGGCCGGCGCGGCCGGCGGTGCAGACGGTGACCCGAGACGTCCCCGGGGAGCGCGGGGGCGGCCTGCAGACCCTGCTGCCCCCAACCCAGGCTCAGTCAGGCTTGACCACCCCCTCTGGCGCTGCCTGACGCCATCCACAACTGGTGCTCCTGCCGGAGCCTCCTTTTCACCCTGGAGTGCCTGCCCCTGCCTCTCTCTAGGCTGCACTCCTAGAGCCCCCTTTCATCCATTCCTTCACCAATCAATCATTTATTGAGCTCCAGATGTGGTATAAACCGAGGGAGAGGGGTCCAGAGGGGAGGGTGGAGGAAGAGAATCCCTAGGATCACAGGTGCTGAGGCGGCCCCGGCCCTTACCTGTGCTCATCCAGGGTGACACAAGGGGCTGGAAGCAGGCCCAGACACATGATGGCATGCAGGGGCAGGTCACACTGGCCCCACAAGTGTGGCGTTCCTGACACTGAGCTGTGAAGAAGCACACATGTGCCCACACAGCTCCCGCAGCCACCAGCAGATGCATGCGTTCTCAGAGCACACGGCAACCCACCTGTGTGCTCACACCCAGACACCCACGTGTGCATGACAGCAGCTTCAAGAGCTGGACGCACAGGACAGGCGTGCACAGATGCTGATATCACCAGAAACATGCAGTGTGTGTGCGCGAACTTACACAACACCTTCTATGCTTCACCCACACATGGGCTCAGCGTGCAGGAGCTGGGGGCTCCCCCACAGGGTGGGAACAAGAAAAGGGAGGGGATGTGTCCTCCAGAGGCCCTGAGAGCAAGATAGTCTGGCCCGTGAATGGGCATGAGGCCTGGCTCCAGCCCTCTTCTCCTTGCAGGCACTGCCAGCTTGCAGCCTGGACCTGGCCTCAGCTGTGGATGGGGCACAGGAGGACCACTGGACGTGGCTGCTGCCCTGCTGGGTGGATGTGGGCACTGAGGCCTGTGTGATCCCCATGCCTTGTGGCACAGGCCCCTGCAGCTCCACGATCGTCCTCTTTCAGGTGCCAGATCAGGGAGATGACCAGAGCTAAGGAACAGAGCTGGTGCCCGGCACACAGCCTTGGGAGCCAGTCCCTTCCCACCCCATGTCCCTGGGATGTGCCGCCAGGCGGCAGCGTGAGAGAAGAGCAGCTCCAGACCTGAGGCGGAGGGACGCCCACGTGCTCGTGTGTGTCCACACCGTGGTCAGCAGATGCCCCTGCTCATGCGCCTGTGCTTCCTTCGTCCTGTAACCAGTCCTGCTGTCCATGTCAGCTCCTGCTCAACACAGGTCCCACAAGAAGGCACTGAGGACCCATGCTCCTCACTGTGCGGTCTAGGCCCTGGAGGGTCCATCCCAGCTGTGCTGGTCACACATCCACGCTTCGCATGTTTACCTGTCTTGTCCTGGGCAGACCTGTGAGCACTCAGAACCCACCACAGTCCCAATAGCGACCCAAGGCTGTGCTGTCCTCAGAGCCACGAGGAATCATCGGTCAAGCCCCCTGGGGGGCATCAGGAGTGTGCTCGTGTGAGCTCTCAGGTGGCAGCTGAAGAAGAGGGGACATCTGGGTGAGGACCCTGGGTGCAGAAAGCCTTGAGGAAAGCTGACAGGAGCCGAGAGGCTGATGGGGGGTGGCCAGAAGTCACTGCCTCCAGGCCCAACCTGCGCAGGGAGCTCCCTGCAAGCAGGACGTTCGTTGGTTCACTGAGAAAACACATGTCGGCATTTGAGGCTGCACACAGGGCCGTCTCTGTGGGCCCATCTTCTGGTCTGCCAGCACCCATGGCCACATCACTGGCACCCTCTTGAGCAGGGAAAGAAAGCTCATAAGCCTGGGGGACTGTCCCGTGGTATCCAAGGTGGCACCCTAGATTTTATTTTATTTATGCATTTATTTTAAAAAAAAGATTTTATTGGGGAAGGGGAACAGTGTTGGGAAATTGGGGAAGGGGAACAGCCAAGTTGTTGTCCTTCAATCTTAGTTGTGGAGGGCACAGCTAGCTGAGCTCCAAGTTCAGTCGCCATCTGGCCACCCGTTGGCAGCTTGCGGCCGCTCAGCTCAAGGTGCCATGTTCAATCTTAGTTGCAGGTGGGCGTAGCCCGCCATCTCATGGGGGAGTCAACCAGAAACTTTGTTGTTAGGAGTACGTGCTCGCACCAGGTGAGCCATCCTGCCACCTATTGGCAGCTCAGCTCGGGCGCAGCTCACTGGCCCATGTGGGAATTGAACCGGTGACCCCGTTGCTCAGAGCTCAAGCTCTTAACCAACTGAGTCACACGGTCATCCTGGCACCCTAGATTTTAGACTGGCACTGCCCAGGCTGTCCGATGAGATTAGAGAACAAGGAAAGCGTGGTGCTCTGTTCTGAGGTTCGTGCTGGCAGTGCAGGGGTGGCCCAGAGGCCCCACGATGATTCCCCACTTGCACCCACGCCTGCATAAAGAAACAGATGCAGACCCATGGAGAGGTCTCCAGATCCTGCGCCCCAAGTCCCAGCCGTGACTACTGGAGGCTTCCTTACGCCTGCCCTGTGCTCCGCCCACGAAAGGCCACCTGTGTGCCACATGTAGGGGTCATGGGGCATTTTGTTCTCCGCGTCCTCAGAGGCAGAACTCAGGCACAAAGGAAGCTGACGGGGAGCTTCAAAATACAGACAAACAGCCGGAATTTCCTGGAAACAGCTTCCTGGGTAACGAGTTCAGACGCAGGTCCCAGTACACACTGGAGCCCACATGTACACTGCCCCTTGCCACCGTGTGGCAGTGTCCACACAGCACACAAGACGAGAAGCGCGCACCCGTCATGCACCCACTGCTGCTTCATGGCCAGTGAGTGGGGCCAGAGCTCACGAAACCCCCGTAACCCTGGGTTCCTGTCCATGTGTCTTTATTTAATGAATGCGGCACCACAGCAGAGCTCTCAGGGGTGCCCTGTGCAGGGGGCTGTATATTTTAAGGTCAGCACACTTGTGCCCAGCAGGGCTGCAGCCCCCTACAGGCCTGAGGGAGGGGTCAGGGATGGTGGGTGATGTACTTCTCTCTCACACACATTCCCACTGTCAGGGTCACCTGGAGGGCCAACAGTCCCTTTGTCACCTCTGATTTGTCATGTCAGAGATTTTCAGAAGTTGCAAGCTGAGGTGGGCAATGAGTGTTACCTGGTTCCCACCACAACTCTGGCCCAGACTGGCTTTCTGAGGTCACCGGCTCCGCCTGACCCCACACAAGACCAAGTCCTGGACTCTCGCTGCCAATGGGCCCCTTCCCCCGCGGGCAGATTGAGTAACGTCCTGTGGGGTGCACTGACGTCTGTGGGTACTGTCTGGGTGTTAGGGCCCTGTATTACTGTGACTGGCGAGTCATCCATGGGGCCATCTCATCTCCTGTGCCTTTGTCTGTCGTGTCACAGTGCCGGGGGCCCTGCACTTGGTGCCATGCGAGGAGGCACTCTGGAGTTATGCACGGGGCCCCCGTTGTGACCCCAGGAGTGGGTGGGCTGAGGGCCACAGCCTGGTTTTGGCGAGACCCGGAGGGGAGCCTATGTCCCAGGCCAGCCCTGAACCTACCACGGGCCGGGGAAGGGAGTAATTCCCGGCTCCATCCCCGGCCACATCCTGGCAATTTCCCCAAGGTGTTTAACAAAGCCCCAGGCTGGCCGTGGGACGGCCCTCTGCAAACTGGGGAATTGGGTAGATTGCTTGGAGGCCCCTGAGAAGTAGGAGAAGAGGCCGCTGGTGGAACTGGCCCTGGTGTGAGGGTGGTTTTAGCTCTGTTTCTCGGTGTGTGACCGACCACCTGAGAAACCACCTGGGGCCCTCGTGCTCTGCCCACAGAAGAGCCCGAGCGTCCTCGTGTTCATGTAGACGCCGGTGCCGTGAGCTCCTCTTCCAGAACAGACCATCCTTCGGACCAGGTGGCCTTGCCAAAATATGCGTGTTTGTCAGAGTCACCAGCTGAGTAGCTGTCTGAGGTCCAGCGGGTGAGTGTGGACTCCTGCGCCTTTGGGGCCCCAGACATACGACATGTTGATTCCTGACTGAGGGGCAAAGCCGGGACTTGTGCTGGGTCATCTCATCCTCCAGCCGGGACATGGCCTCAGAGCGAACTTGATGCTGGCGTTCTGCTTCCTGTCTCTGCCCCATTCTGGCCTCCGCACCTTGCGGTGCTTTACTGGGTATGAGATGAGCTGCTCACGCCCTGAGACCCTCCTCTCAGAGTGGACCCCCCTTCCCTCACTTCTCATTCCTTCTTCAGGCCGTCTTCTGCCTCACTCGCCCTCAAACCTGGATGGGGGAGTAGGGGTGGGGGGTCGGATGGGTAAGTGAATGGGTGGGTTCCACCCTAGGTGCACTTCTCATTTGTATGTACTATGCTTTTCTTTACAGGTTATAGCCCCCGAATTGGTAGCTTCAGTCCAGACACTCAAGAGCCTGCAGTCTGCCCTATGCACCCCCTCATGGCTCCAGTGCCCCTTTCCCAATGCTGTGTTGTCATCGCCATCTGGCTTTCAGTCACCCAAAGAACTGCAATCTTCTGAACTCCCCCCGCCACTGACCAAGCAGCAAGGCTTGTGCGTGCTCCCTCCTAGACCCCCGTCACCATCATTACTTCTGACACCCAGACCCTGCACCAGCTCACCCAGTGCCTGATGGGCATGTCTGGCCCCCCTGCCCTCCAGGCCCTGCCTCTGCCCCAACTTTCAAGATGTCTGTGCTCCCTTTGTGTGAGCACACCTGACTGGCTGCCTCTGCCAGGAGCTCCAGTCCCCAGTATCACTGTTCTGCCCCTTTTGCCGTTGTGGGCCCCTCCTCCACGACATATTTTTAAATTATGTTTTACAACTATGTTGGTATGAAGACAAATGTAATCCATGCTACATTCATTATTTGATATCTGTTATTACTATATTCTTTTTTTCCTTCTTAAAATGTTTTTTTTTGTTGTTGTTGCTAAAAATACTAGGGGTCCAGGTGTTATGTCTGCTGTGTCTGGTGGCAATGTCAGCCCTGCTACCACCTACTGGCCTTGAAGACGGACAGCAGCATCCCCTCCTCCAAGAAGCCTCCCAGGAGTGCCCTGTCCTATTGCACACACACCCGCCCCGGGACCCAGCACATCACACATCACCTGGCACTAAAGGTTTCCTAACATGCTGCCAAGGCTCTGGGCAGACCAAGGTGCTCAGAGACACTCCAACTGAATGGAACTCAGAGTGGGTGAGGAACAGAGAGAGCACCTGTCACCTATGGCTCAGAGGGGCCAGATGGAGCTCCCTTAGGGGTGCTGATTTGGGTGGGCCCCACTGACAGACGATGCTGGCAGGCTGGTCCAGAAGCTGGGCCGGATGTGTCGGCAACAGGGGAAGGTGCTGTTGGCAGCAACTGAGTTTTTGAAGCAAGACATGGCCTCCGGGGAGGGCCAGGCAAGGCCGGCAGACATTACCGTAGTCTGGGCGGGTGACAGGAGCCCAGGCCCAGGGTGGCCCAAGCTCCCACCACCTCCCCTTGTCTGCCTCTGGGAACTCTGCAGACAGTGCGTCTGCTGTAAGCAGGGCTCGATCAGGCCCCATGTCTCTGAGCTTCTCCCTCTGGCCCCCTCTTCCAGCCCTCTGGCCCCCAGGGTTCCCAGGCCGGTTCCCAACCCCAAACGCCACCGTCCACTCTAGCTCTGGCCAGGCTCCCAAAGGCCCGCTACGGAAGGAGGGACACATGTGCCACACGCCTGGAGCCCTTGAGTGTCCAGCCTGGGGGCCAGCAGTGGCGGCTCGCTGTGTGCTGTGGGGGTGGGGGTCTGGAGGTGGTGACTGCCCGTGCCAGCAGGGGGGGCTCCGACCCCTGGGCTCATTAAGCCCCAAACAGCACAGAAGGCTGCAGAGCTGAGGCCCAGCTCCCCGCCCCCCACACTGCCTGCAGCACTGAGGCCAAGACTAATAAAACACCCACCTCACAGGAGACAGCTTTATCTTGTTGATCGGAAGTCTGCCAGCCCAATTTATGATGGAACATAAGCTCTCCAAATCTGAATTTATGCGCTGTAGGATAACGAGAGGTCAATGAGATTAAAAGTGGACTCGGGAGAGGACCACGAGCGCTCACGCCTCTGAGCTGTCACAGAAAGCCTCACAGCCAGAGTCCCTGGACCCAGGGGAGGAGACAGCCCCTCCGCACAGCAGGACAGGAGGAGGGAGGGCGGGAGAGAGCAGCCTGTGGGAAGAGGACAGGCCCACTGGCACAGGGGCTGGCTGGGCTATCGGTGCCTCATGCCATGAGGCAGGCACCTGGGGAGAAGGGAGGGAGCAGAGGTTCCCCGCCAACCCCTAAAGCCTAGGCCAGCCCCTGGCTCTGAGAACAGGTGGAAGGACAGAGTCCTGACCCTGCCTGGGGACCCCTGGCGATTGCGGTAGGTGTAAGCAAACTCAGGTCTTCAGCTCAGGCGCCCCTCCCCGCCCCCCTCCCTGACCCGCTGCCTTCCTCACCCTGTGGAGTCCTGGGTGAGGTGAGGGAGCGGGTGAGATCTGTGTAGCTGGGGGCCTGGGCACCCAGCCAGCGTGAGGCTGGCTTTCTGAACTCAGGCTAGACCCTGACTTCAGAATTTATACAAATAAATGAAATGAAAAGTGCTGGCAGCCCTAATCTGATTACAGTTGTTCATTCTCTGGTCGTTAATAATTTGTGCAATAAAGGATTACGGCTGCCAGCGTGAGGAGGAGGCTGGGGTCCAGCCTTCCCTGGCGCCAGGGCTGCAGGAGCCGGCCACATAAATTATTAGTTTCTTATCGCGCCTGCTGCCAGGGGTCCCGCCTGCCACGACCGGCTCTCAGGGGCTGCCTGCTTTGGACACTCTGGGTGGATCCCCGCATCGTCCCCACCCCAGCCCCTTAGTAGTGGTGGTGGGACCCCCAGAGCCGGGCCTAGGCTTCGAGGCTGCAGCTGGCTTTGGAGCAGGGAGCTCCGTGGCTTCAGCCGTTGTGCTCTGAGCTAAAGCATAGAGGCTGCTGAACCTCACACACCTGGCCCATGGCACTTGCTCAGTAAAGGCAGTGGTCACTGTCAACACAACAGAGCCGCACAGAAGCCTCCATCCACCCCCAACCGGGGGAAGGGAAAGGTCTGTGTGGGTCTGGGCCTCACCTGTACCTGAGTGCACCTGCAGACATGCCATTCACTCTCCACATGTTCTGTCTTCTGGTGTCTGTGTCTAGCACTGGACTCCGGGTCAAGCGGGCAAGCATGGAGCAAGCACCACTTTGGTGCTGACAGAGACACCTGCAGAGGGTGGGGCTGGGAGGGGTGGCAAGGTAGGGGTGCTGTGCCCCTGGGCTGTGCTTCTGCACCCAGTGGGGCAGCTGAGGTTCGCAGAGCCTGTGGCATGAGGTTCAGGCAGCCACAGAAGTCACAGAGATGCGTCCCTCAGGCAGGTCCTGCCTACTGCGGTTCCCTGGCCCCATCCCCTGGCCACCCTGGGAGGCCAAGGGTGAGGTTAGGGTGGGAAATTGGGGTGGGGGCTGCAGACTGCCATCGTCCTGGACAGAGGTGTGAAAGGAACTGGCCGGCCCTGACTGCCTCCCATCACCTTGTGACAGTGGGCGCCATGCCTCGGCGCTGCCCCAGCCTCTCCTGCTGGGCGGTCTCCCGCAGGCCCTGGGCCCAGGCCCCCCTCACAGAGGCCGCAGGCTATCGCATCCACGCTCTCTTCCCACCACTGATGTCTTCTTAGCTGGGTTCACTTGTGATCCAGGTCAAGCCCATTCAGCATGCTCACCCTGTCCTCTGGCTCCTTGGATGCATGGACACAGTGGTAACGGGTGCTCTCATATCCTTGCTGTCACCCTGTCATCCAAGTCATTACTAGGTCAGCATCAATCAATTGCTTTTCCTTCTCACCATGGGGCATGTTTTCCTGTGTCCTCACGTGCCTGCTGACTACTGGGTGAGCAGACTGAGCTTCCTAGGGGGCTGACCATTTCTGTAACTATCCCTGCAGTGTCTCTGGACACCAGGAAGTTCCTTAGAACCAGTGTGGTCCCCGCGGGTCTCACATTGAAGCTTGGCTGGGGGACCAGAGCAGCAATGGGTCTAGAGCGAATTGTCCCACATTACTGTGGCGGGATCGCTTGGTCCTGTGCCCCAGTGAGGGGAGGCCATCCAGCCTGGCCGGCCGCTGGAGGGCACTGGCGGGGCCCTGGGTGACTCTGGACGCACTCCCTTTGATCCGCCTGGTGGGTCTTCCCTTGTGCCCAGGCGCTCCTCTGTGCTCTGCAGACTCCAGGGTTCTCTCCTCCCCTCTCCGTCCTGCTCCATCTAGTCGCCTTGGCTGCCCAGGACTCCTACTTTCGTCTCTCCCCCTGGGGACTCCTGAACCACTTGGGTCCCCTCCCTGTGTCACAGCTGGGATGTGGCGAGGCAGTGAGCTGGGTGGTCACAGGGCTCACGGCGATTGTTCCCACCTCTTGGGACTCCTGCCCTTGGTCACTTGTTGTCGTCCTGAGGGCTCCTGTGTTGTTTCCAGCAGGAGCGGAAGTCTGGCTGCTCTGTGTTGTCCGAGCGCCTGTCCCATGAGTGTGTGTAGTGTGCCACTCCCTGGCGCAGGGCCTGGCACAAACGTGACTCTCCTCGAGTATCTTACCAGCGTGTCTGGGCTGCTCGTGCCACCCAGGCCCCATGGCCCTTGGCCCTTCATGCCACTGCAGCCATGGGTCAAGTTGTAACCCAGGGAGGGGGCATTGAGGGGTGCCATGGTTAGGGGCCTGCAGCACCCCAAGCCTGGCCTCCACTAGCCACCTGTACCTCTAGGACCTCAGGCCAATCCGTGCTGCCTGGGCAGCTGGTGGTTTCACCATGGGAGCAGGAACACAGGAAAGGAGGGAGCGGGCCACTGTCTCCTGGTCCACTGTGAAACCACACCCCACGCCGGGGCAGCAGGAGCCAGGAGGGGAGGCTGAGTCCACTCCAGGGACCGGGAATCCATTCTGCAGCAGGGCGGCTTAGGCACCAGCGCCCAAGTGACGGTGCTGCCCGTGGGCAAGGATCGCATCCTTGAAGACGCCAGGTCTGTTCATTACCTGGAGTGCACTCTGCAGGCCCAGGAGCAGCAGTCTCGGAAACACATATGCCACCCAAGGGCACATATTGCCAACGTGACTGCGCACGAGGCACGGGCAGGGCTGGACGTGTCTGCCTTTGGCTTGCAGTGGACATTGTCCAAAACAGAGGTGGGTTCAGATCTTGGCCTGTCACTGCCCAAGGGCTGTAAGGACAGGGTGTTGCTGAAATGGGGAGCTTGCTGGAGTAGGCATGGCGCCCACTGTCTCAAGGGCTGGCCCTCTGGCCAAAAGAGCATACTGGGGCAAAACCTGGAGGAGGTGGACATGTGACCTGCAGGCAGACCGGGGCCTGGGCTCCCAGCTCCACAGATGGCCTCAGGAATGGCATGTCCAGACCAGGGTGGAGGAGTGGTGGACAGATAGAGTGGAGGGGCAGTGAGGGTGCCATCCAACCGGGTCTTGGTCTTGTCGACGAAAAATATCCAGTCTAAGAGAAAACTTATAAGAGTTTATCTGAGCCAAACTGACGACAATTGCCGGGAAGCAAAATCTCAACGGATTGAGAAAATGCTCCAGAAAATGGCCATTTTGCAACTTATTTTATACATTAGAATCAAAGGAGGAGGGTTACATGAAATCCATTGGTTGTAGATTAAAGGTGTGGGAGAAAGCAAAGCGGGGAAATCTCTGGGATTGGACAAAAGTGAAATGGAGAGACACAGGCTCTTTTTACATTGGTGGGTGCAGCATAATTAACAGCACTTTACAGCACATAGAGTATTTGGGGAAGGAGATAACAATGAGGGACTTTATAGTTTCCTGCTCTGGTGTGG